GGACAGGTCAGTCAAACTTAGTTTAGGCATCATCTAAAGGACTCAAAGAAACTTGCTACAAGAAATAGCTCTCATCAGGCCATGTTGGTTGGTTCATCTTCAGAATAAAATATCTTGCCAATTAGTTCTCCTTTCTGTACTTCGAATACTGGAAAAGCTCGAGCACTTTTGTCATTAATGCTATACATGCAGAGGACACTGCATATTCAAGTTTGGAGATGAGTGTAAGGTATCTTCAGTTACTTCTCATTGTTGGTTTTTCTTCATGTTATGGGATTTTTTTAATTATTTTGCCTTGGCTATTTTTATCTTTATTGGTTTTTGACCCTTTTTTTAAATGATAATTCAGTTTTCTAATTCAAACACTTGGTTTGCCTAAAAAAAATTCAATGCATATAGTTTAGGTTAGTTTACAAATCATTACTTCTTTAGGTAGCTTTGATTTGTTAGCCTTCGACTTCCACATGTAGATTTTTAAGTTCTTATTATATATATTTGTACACAGACACATATATATATTTTAGCTTTGATTTGTTCCAGCTAAAATTATTTGGAAATCGAGAGCCCTTCCCAAAATATCTTTTTTCGCATGGGAAGCAGCTAAAGAGAGAATTCTCACCTTGGATACCTTATGAAAAGAGGACTAACCATTGCAAACAGATGCTACCTTTGTAAAATGGGACCGGAATCGTGCAATCATCTTCTTCTTTGGTGCCTATCTCTGACATTCTTTGGGCAGTGTTTCTTGGCTTATTGGGGTTATCTTGGGTCATGGCCAACACAATCTCCGGTGAATTACTTGCTTGGGAAGGTCTTAGTAAAAGAAATAAGTTTTTCAAACTCATTCATCTCACTATATTTTGGGTCATTGGGAAGGAAAGAAACAAGCTTGCTTTTGATGGAAAAGAATTAAACTTCAATACCTTAAAAGACAACTGGTTTCACTATTTTGGCTCTACTATAATAGGGCTCGACATTGATAGTAAAATAGATTTCTTTCATTGTAAATATGATTAGTGACATGTAAATTTTGTACATGGGTGGTGCCCCCTTGGCATCTATCTTCAATACATTTCTATACTTTTCTTTTTTAAAGAAAATATTTAGCTTTGATTTGTTGGCCTTCGACGTCCACATGGAGATTTTTAGAAGTCTGGGAATTTGCAAATTTCCTCTAGAAAACTAACGATATTATGTGAAAATTATTAACTGGCAAATTATAGTACTGATCATTGTCACAAAAGGAAAAAGAAAAAGACGGTTTGAATTTGAGATAATGTGGAATGACAATCATGAAACTATTAGTTACCCTTTATTTTTTGGCATGCATTATTCAAATTTGTTTGTGGATTTTATACTTTCTGTTGAATCTTTTAACCTTTTTTGGTGTTTGCTTTATCTTTGGCACGAGTTCCATATCTAGAGATTTCATTGAAAGTTTTGAACTTTGTTTTGCCTTGCTGCATTGGTTGTCTTAATTGAGGTTCTCTTCTAAAGTGCAAAAATACTTTAACTCAAACAGGTAATCCTTGAAGTTTCTACAGACTCAAGTAAGTTCAAATGAGATTTAAAGTTGCCTTAATGGGAAAATTTCTCTTTCTGGAATTTTTATGAATTTTATTTTTGGGAAACTGTTACTGAAGTAAAAATTCTATTCAGCGCCAACAGAAAGAAAAAGAACTTAGGATTTCTCAAGAATGCATTTTGGCTTTTAATCACTCTGCCACAAGGTTTAGTTAGAATGCTAAATTTGTTCCTACCATTCTATGTTTATTGTCAGTATGGATTTTGGGAAACAAATATGAAATTTCTTTCAAGATTTCTGAATTCACGTGTTTTGTCTTTTATGTCCTGGTTTTGTTTATTTTGGTTTTGTGAATGTTTCATAGTTTTGTAGCTTTGTTTTAAGCAGTTATCTGGAAGCATATAACTCTGGCTGAGTTCTCTGAAGAAGCTTACAGTCCTAAGCTCTTCAATCTAATCAAGTAACTGGTGCAAGTTTTGGGGATTTGAATATGTTGACTGGCTCAGTTCGTACAGATGTACCTGAGATTCTTTGGGTTCGTCAATTCCTTTTTAGGCAATGTATCTCCTGGTAATCAATCAAATCTTTGTATATCATTTAAAAATGCTTTGTATATCATAGTTGATATTAATTTGTTTCTATTTGGTAAATTATATAGAGTAAATTACAATTTTTGCTCCTCATGGTTTGATTTATTTCAAAGTAAACACATGTGGTCCATTTTTGTGACAGTTAGGTAGCTTGAGGGGAACTATAATTTGCTCTTACAAGTACGCCATATTGCACATATATGTATATGTATGCATATGTATTATATTGATATGTTAGAATAACGATCTTATTGTTATGTTCAAATGTAGCTCTAAAGAGGCTGAAGGAAGGATTCCTTTCTGAAAGAATTTGGGAATATCTGGAGTTGGATATCGAGCATTGAAAAATTGAAAAGTCAATCCAGCCAGACCCGAACCCTATGGTTCCAGTGCAACTGGTCTTCTAACTAGAGACATACCAGAAACAGCAAATCTGTGCTTGCCTTGCAACCAAACTCAGGTGCACATGTTGATCAAAAATTGCGAGGGCCTCATATTATTGTTTGCATAATACTTATCACTATTGCAGTGTCTCCGAGATAAAAGCTCAGGACCTCCTTTAATATGACGGTAATAACTATACTGGCCAGCGATAAGGGATTTACAGATAGAGTAGTTCTTCTTGTAAAGGCAGTGTGTCTTAAGCTTAATTCTTATCACTCCTACAATCCTTAAGATTGAAGAGGAACTACCTCTAAACTATCTTGAAATAAATCCAGAAACTTTATGAATTTATTTGCAAATTGACACTTGCGTTCAAATAAAGAATAATGAAAATCTGACTCCATATCAAATTTTATGTGAAATTTAGAACAATGCATTCTAAATTTCATCAAATATCATTCTGAAAAACTTATTGACTTCATATGTTATAAACATTCATGAAGGAGAAACTCACAACAAGTACATACATGTATATTAATGTATGTTGATTTTTCGTATAAACACTTATTAAGAACATTCAATGTATGTTACACACACTTACTAAATAGAAACATGCAACAAACATATAGTTGTTGAAAATAATATTTTAAAATATAGCTAGAAACTATTTACAAACTGTATTGTAGAATTTATATATATATATATATATATTGTACATTTCATTATAAAGAATATAGTATGATTTTTTGTTTAAATTAAATTTCATTTTTTTTTCACTATAAATTATATAATTTTTAGAAATAAAAATTCAAAATATATTTTTTTTTTCACTTTATAAAAAACACCTTAATAATTTACTGTGCTACTATGCAAGAAAAAAAAAAATAACCAAATTGATTTAATTGATTAAACCGTTGAAGGTTTGATTCAATTGGTTAATTAAATCGGTTTACTTTGATTTTAAACTAAGAATTAATTATTTTTGGTTCTGAGTTGTAAAATTTAAACTAACTGATCTAACATAATTATTTTTTAATATCTACTATATATTAGAAGAAGATGTGGAATTATAAAAGTTTTTGAATTAATTATTGGTTATTAAGTAAGTCGATCAAGATTATTCAATTGGTCCCTTTTCGATTAGGTTGATTGAATTCGGTCAGTTATCATTTAATATCAACCGTTTGTTTTTCCCTCTCCTCTTGTTTGTTGGCCAAGAGAAGAGAAGAGAAGAGAAGAGAAGAGAAGAGAAGCCATGAACTGCTCTGCATTCTCCTCCTCCTTTCTCAACTTCACTCTCAGCTCTGAAATCCCTAAAAACCTTCATCCACATCTCAAGATTGGATCCCCTAAAATACCCACCAATTCCTCTATTTCATCTTCTTTTCACTTCCACCCACTCCTGCGCAACTCTCTGCTTCCTCTTGCCGCTTCACTCTCCATTATTTTCTTACCAATTCCGGGTATGTTCCCCATAATTTTCTCTTCTTCTTCTTCTTCTTTTCTTTTTTTGCCCCTTTTATCTCCTCTATCTTGCTGTAAAATAATCAATGCTACGTGTTCAGTAAGATAGAGAGAGATTGATGAGAGAGTTTTCTTCTGTGTTTTCTTTTATTTGTTTCCTTAATCTTTGCTCTCAGGGTATGTTGGGAACCAATGAATTACTTTTTAGAGTTCATCTGAATTGGGTTCTTTTCCTTTTTTTCTTTTTTAAAAATTTTAATTTCTTGGTAAGTAAAATTGCTATGAATTCATCTGAATGGTCGCTTGGCGATGTGAAGTTTTCAATTGAAAATTTTCATTTGTTTAGTGGAGCGTAGCTTCTGCGTTTTGCTAGGTATTTAATTCTACCATGCTTCATTAGTTTGTAAAAATGATTTTGGTATGGAGAACTGATGTAGAACATGAAATTATAAAATGTAAAATTTGACCGTTTGGGTGTTTTTTTGCAGCCAAAGCTGGACTTTTATCAGGATTCTCAGGGATAGAATCAACTCCAGGTCCTCAGTTACCCCAAATTGATTTTCTTAATCGCTTTAATGGTCTGTTCTCTTACTTAGTTTTAAACAACTTTTCAATATTATTCATTTGATTCGTTGATTGGCAAATAGTTTTAAGCTGCCTCCATCATTTCAGAAGAAAACCAGAAGAAGTATGCTGAGGCTGATGCCAGATTCAAATCATCTCCCTTGCTCAAGCAGCTCCTAGAACGGTCCAAGCTGAACAAAGAAAAGTGATTTCTTCGTTATTTATATAGTAGACATATGGTTAAAACTGCTTCACATCACATATATAAATATACAAGTCATTCATTATGTTTTCAAGTTTAGGAAGTTGGAAAATGATTTTGATCAGAAGTATGAGAGAACTTGATTTTATAATGTAATCTTGAATGCTGGTGGTGCATAAAGGCAGAGTTTGTTTTATAAAAGGAGATATGCTGATTGAGTGATTGCATGCTAAATTACCACAGAATGGTTAATGGGAAAATTTACAGGAACCGACAAGCAATTTTGGACAAGTACTGCATCCGCGGAGCAGAGTGGGGCGTAGGGGATTGTTCGGCAGATGCAATGTCACCCGAGGAGAGGGACCAGTTCATTTACATGCTGAAGCAGAAGGCTGGTATAACTGAATGACCTTTGCATTGAACAATTTCTAATGGGGAAGTTCACATTTTGTGGCAACTGTTCTGGGTGTAAGGTGAATGGGTTAGGGATTTCTGCAACTTGTTTTTGACGATTAGATTCAGTATACATTCATTGTTATCTTGCCTCACCCACCTAACTGGTGGGAATCAAGCAGGTAAGCTCCTGATTCAGTTGATTTCAATTTGCTTTGTGATTCTGTTGGTGTTCTTGATTCCATTTGTGTTAGTGTTTATAGGAAAAATTTCCTTGCCTGTAGTATAAATAATCTTTTCCTTAATAGTATTGGATTTTTAACCTAAAAATTTAAGAAAAAAACTAGAAACTTAATGGGTTGCGAAGAGTTGAGAAATCTCCTACATCTAATTTGAAGTAATGAAGATTGCCTCGTAAGTTGAATGGCAATTATATAGGTAAAAGCGGTAATAAAGTAATAAATTAATAAATAAATAAATAAAAATATAAATAATTGCGATAATGATGATAATAATAAGTAAAATACATTAAAAACAGAAATAATAAATAAAACAGGTTAATTGTGACTTCTTAAAACACATCGCTACTTAACATTTGTCCAAACCTAAAGAATTTCCAGGATTTCGAATCTTTGAAAAAATTTGGTTAGTGGACTCCTTTTTAAAGTACCGTGATGACGATTTTTGAATATTAGGAAAAACATTTTATTTTATTTTTTAAAGTACGAATCTTTAGTCAATCTATAAAATAAAAAAAAAATATTACTAGCAATAAATGGATATATGTATATATAAGATGGAACGGTCCATTAATATTAATTAGGTGAGACTGTAGTGTTACAGAGATACATTTAGTAATTCAATGTGTAGTATTTTAAAACATTAACTCTTGTGACGAAATTAACTATTCCTTAGATTTTGCACTGGTAGCTATTAATTTGATGTTTCAAATACATTTTTTTTTTTTTTTTTATGGTGAATCATAAGAGTTTTACACATATAAAGCAACAATAAGAATATGCCAACTTTGAATTTTTTTTATCTTATTTACATGTGAAACAAATCACTTTTTAGATTAAAATAGAGATAAAACGCTTAATTTTTTTTGCTTGTGTATTTGTTCATTTGTCTTATAACTTTTATGTGTAAAAAGAATACCTACAAGATCTCTTATTTATTTAAAAGTACATCATTATTTAATTTTTGTCATTTGTCACACCGACTTTTATGACTATAAAAAATACCTCCAAGATCTCCTATTTATGTAGAAATATAAAATCATTTAATTTGGTTCACCATATATACATGTAATGTTCTTATTGTTGGTCTTCCTAAAATCATGTGGATTTGCTTTCGAGAGGTCTATTGCTTGTCCCTCGGGTCATAATATCACTACAAAAGCAAAGACAATCTTTAAATTGGTGTGAAAATTTTATAAGAATTTATAAATATAACAGTAAATTTTTAATTTATTAAAATAGACTTATGATAATTAAATTGATTCAGTTTGTTGAATTAGTAAAAGAATATTAAGTATCAATATGAATTTATTGATGTAATTTTTAAATTCAAGATGTACTAAAAATAGTTTAAATGGTAGTTTGACTATAAATAAATTGGGTTAATTAATTGGATAATCAGAGGAATATTAAGTATTATATATACATATACATATGT